CTTTCTCTTTTCTGAATATCTTAGTGTTAGCCCATGCTCAATATGCTAAAACATGAAGTAGAAAATAACCCGGACTTTAGTCTTGAGCCTTCTTCAAATATACAAGGTAGCATGAGTTTATAAGAGGTCTAACATTTCAAGTTGCTTCTATAAATAAACGTACATTATGAATCCTAGTCCCTTTATTCTAGTGAAAGGAGTAACGGACTACAGGAAGTCATTTTGAGATGGAACTAATGTTTATTCAGTTGCAAGACACATAAACATCCTCTTCCCTTTAGACAAAGAATGTAGGCAGCTATTTTAAGGATAAAATTTATATTTCTGTGAGAGAGAACAAATAGAGTAATATGGTAAGTACTATTTAATTGAACCACATTTCAGATAAAAATTATACTATGGAAAAGAAATCAGCTTTAAATAATTAACTCACAATAAAAAATAACCAAAAAAGCCTATGTATCTTTACTTTATCATCCAAACACATGCTCTTTAACTCTCTCAACTAGTTTTTCTTTGTTCTATGACCATAATGCACGGACACAAACAATAATAAGAAAATGCAACATAAGCCCCAATAGTTTCTATTAAAATTACTAGGTGTCTGATTTCCCCATAATGGTTATAATGGTTTCCTATAATAATTTTCTCTATGACTCTTTCATAAGAAGATTGTTTTCAAGTAATTAAAGAAACTGAATATTTCATATTACTTGGGTAAAAACAGAACTTACGAGTTTTACTCAAGTTAAAAAATTCGGCTACGGGTAACGTGCATTCTATGCATCAGACACAAAGTGACTGAGCCTGGCAGTCTCTCAGAAACTATTTCCATCCCATCTAAGTGAAACTTATCCTTACTTCAGCTGCAGCCAGTGATGTCACCTCCATCAGGTTCACTGCTCGGAAAGCAAACACGGCAGCTGCCAGGACTGGAAAAGAATGCACACTATTTCAATTGCTGGCCCACTCATCAGCTTGGCAAAGTTACTGCTATGCCCACAACTCACTACGAATGCTCAGAACTAATGCTTTCCATGACTGCACCTCCACATTCCGAGTTAAGGTTTTGGGATGAATGGAAATTGTGTGCTCTAGAGAAAAGTGCCTGATGGCTGGACAAACTGAATCTCATAGTTCTCAGAAAAAGGAAAATTCAGTGGTCTTAAAAAAAGCCATTTTATAAATTGTTTCTTTCATACCTACAACTTAAATTATAACAGTTTAAAAATGGCATGAAGATCTAATGACTGTCTTATAAATTAAAGTCTATTTTGATGCAGGTATTTCTTACTGCAATGAAAAGATTTCTGAAAAGTTATATGGAGACTGAATTTTTAAATATGTCAGATCATGTTTCATATGTACCAAGGAGGTGCCCTGACAGAAAAATGGCAATAAATTCTTTTCTTAAAAAATATTTTGACAATATTTTGTTATATTTATATTTTAAAACTCAGCATTGACTTTCTTAGAATGCCAGAAATGGATATATCTGTGGGGAGGGCTGCTGTGGGATTGATTCTGATATTTATATTAATGTTGGCCACAAGGAAAATAAATTGAGACTTTGAAAAAAAATAATTATAGGACAACTTGAAGGTCAATAATATACATCAAGTAGAAAACAATATTTGGATTATTGTTTCCATTAAACATATGCATATGAAAAAAGATTAGTGCTAACATATAA